GGTCCAAGAGCACAACCGTGGCCATAAAACCTCGTGGCGAGGTTTATCAGGAGCCCACTGCAGTGCCCTTGTGGCCCAAAAGAGTCTTTTAAGCAGCTTGGGGCCAAGACAGAGGCTGGGCTGCTGCTCAGAGCCCTGGGGTGGCGCTTCCTGGCGTGCGGGGCCGCGCCGAGCGTGGAGCTGGTGCCGCTCCGTGCCGAGCGCCGTGCGTCCCTGGCACCGCTGCTGGATTTGGGGCTGCAGGAACGTTCTCCGGGTACAGATGGTCTGTCTAGCACCCTATTGTGGGAACTGAGACCCTGCAAGCCACCACTAGAAGTGCTGTGGCTTCTAGGAGGAAAGGGCTATGAAAGAAATGTCGCATGCTAGTAAAAACTGTAGTTGCACAGTTCCTTTTTTTTTTCTTTTTCAGTCAGTGCTGTAAAAACTCAAGTGACACTTCTCCCTACAGATATCTGCATTTAAAAAAAGAGATGGAGCCACAATAAATATTGAGATAGCAGCACAACCTCGTAGGCAGCGTGCTGTAGGCCTCTCTCCTCCCTGCTGAAATGGAAATGCAGCCCAGTCCTAGTTGGGAGCACATCCCAGCTACCACGATAACGGTGCGCTGAGCTAAGCTGCAGCGAGGGGAGCTGCTTGGCATGCAGAAATCTTTATTTCCTGCCCTTTTTGGAGAATCAAGCTCTTAAGAGCATGCTTGGCATTCTGGAAAGCTGCAAGACAACCACATATTTTCACAAATACAATATGGAGGCTGTAAGTGGTTCCCTAAAACTACCTGGGCACCTCCAAGCCATTTGGAAGGTTTCATCTCAATGCGATCCTTACATTTCCACTTGCTTTCTGCCCCACTTCTTGCAAACTGTAGAAACTATCAGCAATTTTGTTCTCGGGCTCTTTTCTTTCTTTGAGAAAGTTCCCTCTCTCTCCTCACCGAGCTGAAAGGGAATTCATGAAGACTGCAATTTTAAAAGCAAAATCGGGCCTTTTTGTTTTCTGTTTGTTACCACACTAAACAAGATGGGATCTGGCCAGGGTTGTTATAGTAACTACTAAGATTTCCTCAAGAGAAGGAGGAAAAAAATAGAACACAAACCCATTCATCTATTACTTCCAGTTTTTCATTCAGAGTTACATGCTGTTCTGTGTGGATGATTTGCAAGACACACAGTGTAGGTAATCTCAGTGACAAAAAAACATACCAGTAATGAGCACAAATGGCTCTCCAGAACGTTGTGCTGATGCTACTGCTTTATTTTTTTAGCTTTGGAGGCAAGGGCAGCAGTTGTCCCCAGATCTGCAGTTCTTAGTTGGTCGCCTGGCTCTGGCTTCTCACCTCTGGGTTTTGCCTTGGAATATCAGGCTGTCTGAAATGTTACACAATTTTGTTGATAATGCAGGGTAGGTGGTAGCTTTCTTTCCTACCTGAATGATGAGTTTTAAGCAAGTGACCTTAAGGTTCCTAAGGCAAGAAGCTATCAAGAAGAACTAAAAGAGAGTAACGTCCTGCTACGATCTTGTGCCATTATTTCCTTTCACACACTGGAAATACTTCACTTGAAAAAGCCTGATTTTTTTTTTTTCAGGGCTGTGGTGGTTCGTAGGCTTCCTGTGATGGTCCAGTGCTCTAACTAGGTCTTTCTCCTAGTCAAGAGATCTTTCGCAGTTCGGTACTAAGCAGGATAATGAAGAACCAGCCTGTCCCTGCAATGAAGAGGCCCAGCAGGTTAGAGGAGAGTAGGTTGTTGATGGTCTGTGTTTTTGCATCTTCTACACGGTACGTGGGTCGCTATAGCCCTGCATCACCAGCAATCTTCATAATTCCTAATTCTTCCTTTTTGTCAGCAATAAATAGGAAATCGGCTCAAAATTTGCCTCTGAAGAATGTCCAGGTGTGAAACTAGTTTTCTAGTTCCATGTCGATCCTCTTCTGCCACTTCTGACGGGAGAAAATCTGTCTGTAGGACACGGCCCTGCTGCAGTTGCCAGCCAGTGTTCACCCTACTAGGAAAATGTGTAACCTGGTGTGGAATTTGGCTTAAGCAATAAGGAATCATTTCTTAAAGCTGTGGGATGCTGTATAGATGTGAAGTATGGCAGATGACTGCTTTCATTCACTTTAGCATCCAGATGAAGCTTAGTCGTGTTTCTGAAGTAATGAAGTTCCTTCCAAGGAAGGACCTAAATGTTAATTCCTTGCACAGTAATCACTTGCACAGTAAAATGATCCAGTAAGGTCAGCTCAAACCTCAAGAGAGGTTCAGTGTGTTTGTGCATAAGGGAAGGGGGGCAGTTAAGAGAAGGTTGGTTGCACTGTTGGTGGCAGTGGATACTGCCAGTTTGTTGGTTCAGGAAATAGGGAATGAGTAGCTAGAAGGAAAGTCCACTAAATATTGTTAAATGTGGAGAAACCTCATCTGGTTTTGGCCACCCGTAGACCACAGTGGTTGGATGGGAAAGGGACTTAGGGGAGACATCTGCTTGCCCAGTTCTTGCTTTTCCCTGTGCATCTGCTTATGAGCCCTGTAGGAGAAAGTCTGAGCTGGGTGGGTGTTTTTCTGAGTCACTGATGAAAGAATTTTTTATTGATTGTTTTAAATAATTCTCTGATTTTTGTGGTGTTTCTAAAACCTGCTTCTAGGTGAAATTGGGGAACTGGGGAGCTTCTTGTACACAGCCTGTTACTCATCTTCAATACCCTGTGAAATATTTAATACTTGAGAAATGCAGCTTTCTAGTTTTCCCAATTCCCCAATGAAATAAGAATAGAAGAGAGCAAAAGAAAGATCTCACACCTCTTGCTAGGAAATAGTCCAGATTTGTTTTAACCTTCTTTTGATATCCTACATGTTCTTAATATGACTTAGTCCCCTTCAGGAAGAACCTCACAGCAGCCCAGGGTGATGCCAAGTTCCAGGAATGGATTTAAATCCAGCTGGCAGAAAATACCCTAGCAGGAATTCATAGGAGTCTTTGCTTGAGGAGCAAGTTCACAGTCTTCTTGTTTAGCCACCAAAAGGTCGAAATGTGGCTGTGTTGCCAAAACCAGATTTGGGAGATAATCTTGCTTTAGTGCAGGCATCTGCATCCAGGACATCTCCTTGATTTCTGGGTGAGAATTTGTCCCCGGACACGTGTGCACAGTGACACGGTGCAGCGAGCTCCGCTTTATCCCCTGGAAAGAGCAGCCCGAGCTCCGAGCGTGCGTTTCCCCGGGGACACACGGAGCTCTGCAGAGGTCATTCCCACTCCGATAGCGAGGGGACTTTGGCATCTTTCCCTTACACTGAGTAGCTGCTGATCAGTGTTAGGGAACAAAATGTGAAATACTAGGGCAGAAAACAGGCGACACTTGGGATGTTAGTGAATCCCGTGCAGAAGCGGCCAGGAATCCTGTCGGCGAGCAGAGGAATTAGCGCTCTCCGGATCGTCTCTTGCTCCGTGTAAAGGCACCAGCCCTTCATTAGCCGCCGCTCGCAGGTTGGCGGGACTGCTGGTACCTCCAAGAAAACAAAGTCCCCTTTGACGTTTGCATGAAAGGCAGGGAAGCGGCCTCGGTGCCACCGATCCCTAATGAGCTCCGGGGAGCCTGGCGCTGGCAACGAGGGGCCCTGCCGCTGCGACGGTAAAACCTCACGTCTGTACACGAGTCGTAATCGCTCTGCATGTTGTTTTAGACAAAACATCCCCTATCTGTAAAACATCCCCGGGCAGTAATATTATAGAAACTGCGGCCGCCCCAGCTAGCGCAGAAATGCCAAATGAAGCCCTTGCTATCCATCGGGATGGCAGATAACCCGCAGCAATCTTTTTAAAATGTTAATCTGCGTCGCGTGTTTGGCTTTGAATATTTGGGGACCATTACTCGGTTATCTGCCGCTTTCTGCAGGCTTGGATAAGCAGATTTAACCCCACCAAAGCCACTGTTTATACCCCGACTTGTTCTTCTCTGGGTGAAATTATTTCAGCAATAATGAATAAAATTAAAAAACAAAAGCATTTGACTGCTTTAACTGCAAAAGACTCTGCTTTTATATGAATAACTGTTCTGGGAGGAAAATGATGATTCTAACAGGCGGGTGTAGCATGACTTAATGCCCTCGTGATCACTTAAACACATGAAATGTACTCGTTTTTCTGCTTTATCACAATGTGAAGATGATCTTTATTTGCACATGCATTTATTTTAATTGCTAGGGTTTTCGCACGCGTTCTTGTTGATATTCCAATTCTAATTTTAACTGCACCAATGACTTGCTACCAATTCTTTGATATTTTTAGAGAGAATGTAACCAATAGCCAAAATAACAAATAAAAAAATAAAAAGAAAGAAAAAACACCCAGCTACAAACAGCACGATGGGTAGAGACAAGGCACTGTAACCAAGCAGCACAGGTTGGCAGTTCTGTCTAGGGTGAGTTTTGTCTGAACTGTGTAAAAATTGTGTTTAAGATAAATTAACCCAGCTTGATCTCCAGTGCACAGCTACAAAGCGGGGCTGTTACTGTCTTGATTTGGTTGGGCTTCTTTACACTGCAGTGCTGGAAATCAGGCTCAGATTTGCTGCTCTGTGACTTTCTAGTGGCTCTGCCTTGCTGTGGATGGTGGCTGGGATCTTGCTGGAGAAGCCTATTTGTGCAGGCCGATGCCGTCCTTCTCCCTTCAGTAATTTCCATGTTTGCCAGTGTGTTTTAGAGGTGTCTGCCCTGGAAAGGGCTGTGGGAGCAGAGTCGCTCTTCAGGGTTTCTCTGGAGTTTCCCTGTCGACATCCTGGGAGGTTTCATCTGAGACTTTGATACATAATCAGTTCCTTAAAAATCTGTTCTGCATTAGCCATAAATGCATCCATTTTATCTTAAATTATTTCCTGGTTTCTGTTGTATGTACAGAAGGACCCATCACAAGGTCTGCGTGAAAGAAGATGGGATTATGCAACATAAAGGCGTTGCTGTAGATAATTCAGCACAGAATAAATGTTGCCACTGCTTTGTTTGCAGAGTCGCCTGAAAGAAGCTGTGCAGTTGCTGGAGGATTACAAGCATGGAACTTTACCCCCAGGAGTCACCAACAAAGAGGTAAAAGAGAAAGCCTGGCTGACCTTGTACCCCTTCGTGCCGTGCGAGGGGAACCGCTGTCGACACTCAATTGTGGGTTACGGTTTTGGTGCTCCGACTGTTTCAGGATCTGGTGCTGGATGTGCTCGGTGGAACTGCTGCCTGTCGCAGTGGAGCTGTTGGTCCATCACAGCTGCCCCTGCGTTGTACAAAACTTGGGCTGCTTTGAAATCTCCGTCTTGCAAATGCTGCTGGGCAAGAATGGCAGCAAGGAGCTTCCCAATAAAAATCTTGCAGGTTTTTATGTAGAACAAGTAGAAAGCTTGTTTTTTATTCTGCTTGCGCAAATACTGATTATCTTCAGTCAAAGTTATTGCTTCCTTTCCCTCGCAAGATGTTTTTGTTATTAAGAATTCATAAAAAAGGACATGGCTTCCTTTGCTTCAGTGAGGGAGAGCTTGCTGTCAGTTTTATACTTGCAATTGTGGTTCGTGAGGCCTCTCTCCTACTGTGCTCCTGCTCTGGGATATAAAAAAAATACCCTACACTGAATATTCCTTCACCAAAATAAATGTAGCCTAGACAACAGTCCTCCAACTAACCAGTTTCTCACAATGTGTATATATATTCATATATATTTGCATATATATATATTTCATGTTTTCAGAAATGGTACTTTTTAGGAGGCAGCATTGCTGCCATTGGGATCCCTAAGCACAGAGCAGATTTGCTAAAGGAGGTTGTAGAAACCCCACTGCAGGGAAGTTCTTAGCACAATTTGCCAAGAAGAAGGAAGTTCTGGGGAGACCTTGGCCTGCTTGGGGATGGAGGGTTGCACTCAGTGATCCCTCTTAGCTATAGAGCTATGAAACTTGTGAAGTCTGAGGTGAGGACTGCAGAGCAACGAGGCTGCATTTAGAGCCTTTTACATCCAGATCATTAGCATCATTGCTGTGACTTTCCTTCAGGCTTTCTTCTTCTCTCTTTCTCTTTTTTTTTTTTTTTCCATATTTGTTGGTGTTTGGAGTCCTGACCGTAACACCAGCACAAGGGCTCTTCTACAATGTGTCTCTGTATAACATCTGCTGTCTACCAGCATCAGTCCTAAGTTATCTCCTGATCTAAAATATGGATAAAATGCCTAAGCAGACTTTGTTGCAATGCTAGAAATGCAGGACTTTGTTCCCCTGGACAGGGCTTCAGTCCTTAGTGCTGCCTTAAACTTCTGTCTCCCAGCTCTCCATCACGGCCTTGGGTACAGTGCTGAGGTTTGTAAGTGCCCCAGATTAAAAGGGAGGAGTAAAGAGCAGCGTTTTGTTGGCAGGCCTGTTTCAGGGGTTGTGAGAAGCACCTGTGACAAAGAACTGGTTCAACTCTGAAGTAAACGACAGAAAAAATATGTTTGTCTCTTAACTCCCTGCAGGTTAAATAACCCTTTTATTTCTTCTCGTGTCCGCGTGCAATCGTTGCTTTTCATGTAAAGAAGCTATAGGATGTCAACGAAGAAAACTGAGGTTTGCATTCACTTTAAGCTGCTTGTGAGCTGGGTACTGTTTTGGGAAAGAGACATTGCTTCAACACAAACTCGGTGGGAATGATCCCTTCCCGGTGCGATTCGCTCTGTGGGGCATCGTGCTCATGGTCATTTGATGTCGCTCCTTTCGGTCAACCTTAACTTGATGGTAAGAAAAAGAAAGCAGGGCTCAGGAAAAGAGGAAAGCAAAGCATGATGCAGCAGCAGATGACTCAGTCCCCATCTGCCCTAAGGCAGATGAAGTACAAGTCATTCACTGTTTCAAGCCTCGCAGGCTTCTGACCTCTATTTTGGGGTTGGTGTAGTGATAAACCTAGGGTACACCCAGAGTTCATTCCGAACTGCATAGAGAGAGAGAAAAGTGTCATACATTGCTTGTTTCCCTCAGCCATGACAACATAAAGCATGAGGCTCTCCTTATTATGCAATCTGGAGGAATTAAAGTGTAAAATAAAGGTATGCAGTGGAGCAGGAAAGAGAAAATGGGGCTAAAAATGTCTTTCCTAGAAAAAATGTCAGCACATCAGTGTAAAAAAAAAAAAATCCTGAGCATTTGATCCTGATCACAGTATAAATGGTGTTAGGGGGTCCTAAACACTGCTGACAGATGGCTTGTTCCCACATTTGACTGGAGGATAAGTCGCTTTCCAAGGAGTTGGATACGGCTTCCCTTGGTGATCAGAGCGAGGAGCAGCCATGAAGCTGGTCTGGGAATGGCAGCGTGTCCTTGTCCTTGTGACAGACCGTGTTTAAGCAGCAGCCAAAACCAGCTTGGTAACGTGGGGAAACGATTGGTGAAGTCAGCAGGCATCAGTTCTTCCTTGGTCCTTGAGCTGGTTGTAAGGAATGATCAACCCCCTCGTTGATGGAACAGGAGAGGCAGGGACTGCACAGCATGCCGGAGTTGAGGAAGGCCACTGCTGTGCATGGAAAACATCAAAAAGGGTTGAGACTTTCTAAGGAGAAAGCGATTCTTCCCTCTTGGCACCATGGTTTCCCCAACACTCTTGGGTGGAGAATTAGGGCCTGCAGAGGAGACCACTGTTAATGCCGGTGGTTTTGGAAGTGAAAACTGAGTTAAGAGTGAAGAAAAAAACACATTTCCGCTCAGGAGTGCCAATGCCCCTGGGGGCAAAGTGAAGAAGATCCAGGTCTCCTGAGTTTCAGCTCCTCTAATCTTGGAGACTCTCCTCTTTTTGGAAGGGCCAAGGATGGGATTTCCTCTTCCTAGGAAGGCCCTGTCAGCTTTGCTTGCAGAGAGATTCTTTTGACCTGATCTCCTCCAGCAGTTCACATGCATTTCAATTTCAAAAACTTACTGTGAGGATTTTAATTTTTTAATTTTGACCATTGCATGTGTAAATAGATATTTCAGGACATGCTCTTTTATTTTTTTGCCTGAAAGGTAATGTCTGAAGTCTTGTAGTGACACCTGTAGTTTTCTCGCCCTATGGTATTCTCTTGTCATGGTGATAACTTGGTGTCATATTCCCTGGGTTATTGCTGTGTTGCAGTCAAATAACATTTTTTTTCTTTAAATTCTTTTATCTGTTCTCTTCCTTTTCTCTTGTCCAGGCTAAACTTTACCCCAAAATTGTTATGGAAAGCACTATTCCTTTTCCAAATAACTTATTTTCACTTAGGCAAGTGATGGCCCTCTCTACCGAGCAAGGATGCTCTATAATAAAACAAGGTATCACCAAATGTTAAGGTTATGGTGGCACGTTGCATTTAGTAGTTCTCATGTGGAAGACTCATCACCAAATAATCCCCTTGGAGTCAGAGAGGAAGATCTAACTATAAAACCGATTAAAAGGTGGTTGGAAAGGCGCTCTCTGCTTGGAGAAACGTGGCCAGCAGTAGCTCTGAGCTCCCATCATGGAACTCGTGCTCTGTTGTCTAACTTGGGGGCAGAGGAGGAGCTCAAGGGGAGCATCTGGAGAGGTTTATCTAGCTGGCAAGTGTGTTGGTACTCATTGGCATATGGCAATGCCAGATATACAGAGCTGGAAGTGTCTCATTAATTATGGGAGCCTTCGCAGAACACACCATGTGCTGGTTGCTTGCTTGGGGGAAAGGGAAGCCTCTCCCTTACATTGTTTTTGCCCCAAATTTTTCATTGGTGAACCAAAGGAGATGGGAGAACACTCTGATTTTGCTTCCCCAAGGCCAGTTGCCACTTTTGTGGGTTTTTTGCATGCACCGCTATGTGGGATGGACTTTGTCTACAAGGCAGTAAGTGGAGGAGAGAGTTCAACAACATTTGAGGTGAGTTTGCAGTTGTTTGAGCGCTGGTTGGGAAAAGGGACCCAGAGCTGCATGGACAAGGTGCTTGCTTTGGGGAGAGGGGCTCACATGCCTGGGCATCTTAGTCAGAATTGCAACCATAATCACCTTAGAAGCCTTAAAGATAAAAGTTTGGCCATTTATTAGCATTTTGATCAACTCAATAAACTCCCCAAATGCCAGCTTCCCATCTGAAAGACAACATGTTTTGACTGAGATGTTTAATTTTCTGACTGATCTGCAGTACACCATGTTTGACAGGGTTCAAGCTCCCTTTTTTTTCCCCCCATGCAGAAACTTGTGGATCTCATCAGGGTTTGCCAGGCAGTTGCTGAAAGCATCCCCAAAGCTCAGCTCAATCTATATTGCCTGCTGAAATGCTTTCACTGCATGAAAAATGAAAAGATAAAAGCCTAAAATGATGTCAAATATCTCCTCAACACTTCTTATCTTCTTGGCAGGCCTTTATAGAGGGAGTGTTTCTTCTCCCTTCCTAAAGATTTAAATGAATTGAAATGGTACAATTATGGACCATTCTTAAATTAAATAACAATAAGAAAAACACATCCAGAGTGATTAATTAATTGCTTCTGTTCCTCACAACTATCTCTAATCCAGATTGCAGGAGAAACGCAGTGTATCTCCAGTTGAGAGAAGCCTTGTGGACTTCAGCGCCCCCAAAATCCATGTTTTTCGTAGCATCTTTCCACCATCTTTCTGTGCACCAGCTCTGTGTTCATCTCGGGGTCAGAGAGGCCGGCTGAAGCAGGAGCATTTGTGGAAAGGGGAGAGTTTCCCCCTTCGGGTCTGTCCCCTGCTGCCTCTCGTGGTTGCCACCGTGGCCTCGTGCTTCCCGCTGCACCAGGAAGCTCCTGGCTCCTCTCTGCTGCTCGCGGGTCTCACGCTGACCCAGCAGCTCCTGCACTCGCTCGTGAATGAGCAGTTTCACTGCTCAGGAAAACAACCGTTAACTCAGGGTGGTAAAAACCTATTTCTTGGGCACTATTAGCAAAAATGATGAATTGATCTTCTAACTGTCAATAACTGCTAGACTGCTGATAGCTTTTTAATGAGGGGAAACTACAATGATTTCTACATTGGAAAAATGTTTTCAAAACATGATTTTTACCAGAGCTGGTACATAATTTATGTACTTAGCAAAGCTAAGGACGAATACGTGTTTGATTATTGTTTGTTTAGT